TGCTGTTAAAACACATTATACAGTTTATTGTCCAGCTGCTACAGGCCTGGAGCAAATCTACCATCCTGGAGTTTATGTTCAAACCTGTTTCAGAGAGACATTGATTACACTGTATGGTCATTTTGGTAGTAAGTTAATGTTCATTATACATATATAATATTATATATGGTTAAAAGGAGTTCGGGCTAGACCTGCTCTATTTGAAAAGTGTCCTGAGATAACTTCTGTTATGAATTGGCGCTATACAAATAAAAATGAATTGAATTGAATATACCTTACTGACATTAGAAACCTCTCAGTGTAGTGGTCGGGGCCACCAGGGGGCCTCAGCTAATTGGAGGGAAGATTTGGCAAAATACAAAAATTAATTCATCATCACATAAACTGCTGGCATTGTATCTGATGTTTATATATTTATAACTATCAGGGTTAGTTTAAGTTAGAGGGACTTTTTAGCTCTAGTTAATGTTGAGTTGTGTTCAACTAAACTGATAAAAATGCTCATATTGGAAAACAGAAATATTTTATCTGGTGGAATGATGCAAGTTTTGAAAAACAAATTATTATTGCATCAACACAAGTAAGGAAATGTATATTCAGAAGTTGTTTTCTTTGTTTTTGTTTCTTGCCATAGTAATTTTTTAGAAGGGCCCCGGCCATAAGCTAATATTTAGGGGGTCTCGGCCTACCTAAAAACTGATAAACTGGCAACTGACTGTAGGTCAATGTACATTTATAATTGTAACTTGCTGAATGGTTCTTTATGTTTGCTAATTTGTCAGAGATAGTGAAACGTAATTTCCTTTTTCCTTGATGTTATTGACCAACAGTCAGAATACCGAAGTTCAGTTTGTCATGTAAGATTAAAATAAGCAAATCCTCACATTGGAGAGGCTGGAACCGGTGAATGTTTATGAATTATTTAAACTGTTTCCAGTTAATTTTCTGTTAATTGACTAGTGGCTAGCCTAATCAATTATTCAACTAATCCTTTCAGCTCTACCTATCTAATATGACGTTAGCTGCTCTTTTAGGCAGTTTAAAGGTTATGGCTTTAGTAATACACCAATCACAATAGGTAACCTCAAAATGACAAGAGATGTAGGTGTGACAATAACAATTTTTTTTTTACCTGGTTCTGAAAAGAGGTATGAAGAATTCTCAACTTGTCTTATGTTTCCCTTGTCAACCAGCATTGAGTCAAATCAACATTGGGTTGTTGTTTTTAACATTATTTGCACATTTTGGCAAAATTGTCATGATTGGCTCTCAGCTGTTCGCCTTAAAGGTGACATTTGAATGATAAACATGCAAAACTTCTTAACCTGTTGATTTTGATGTAACATTATATGCCCAAGTGTAGATAATTCAAATTGACTTCTAAGTAGCTCATATGTATTGAAACAAAATATGCAGTACCATCGTTCTTGAACATTTTTACATAAACTGTGCTGACTCCAGTTTTGTTTAACTTGTATTATGTTAGTGCTGTAAATTTATATTTAATGCTCTGCTTCTCATATTGTGGATAATTTGACTTATTTGACTTAACAGTTCACTGAAGTCTGGTAAATTAGCATGTGTTTGTCTGATGTGCCACAGATTTGGTTAAATGTAGATAGTTGGTTAGTTTTGATTCTAAGCTGAAGCGCATGCTAGGATTTAGCTATTAAATGGAATAAATACAATTGTTGTGAACTGACAGTGGTGATATAAAGCCTTCAATTTCTTTCTAAAAACCTGCTACCTCTGCATGTGATGTTCTCTATATTGTAATCTTGGTATTTGGGAATAAGAACAATAAACAGTTCTGTTATACCCCAAAAGGTACAATGTTTATTATCAATGTTATTAATAAACACAAACTGACTGTACAGTGTAAATAGAAACATCAATGGAACATACAGCAAGTCAACAACTTGAATTCCACGTGAAGTGATTTTTAGTTCAATGTGTATTTCTGAAATATACCATCATACAAGCCAAAGGGGGAAAAAAGAAACCAGGTAAGTTTCCATTGTGCCAACAACCATAATTTAAAAAGAAAAGAAAAACAGCTTTTTGGACCTGTAATATTGCTGACAGTACTCAACACCATGTAAATTACTTATTTACACACAGTGTTGACTGTTGTTTAAGCACTTAGGGTAAATACATCCTTCATCTTATGTACAAAAGGTTTAAAAAACACTTCATTATTATCTGGACAGAGGCTAATGTTAATGCTAATATACACCTTTCCTTCAAAATAAATGTCACTACAACACATCTAGGAGATATGAAAAATAACTATTTACAAAAATTATAAAAAGCTAAAAACAATTTTCATCATTCACAAGAGTCGATTCATATTTATATGGGTTTAAATAGTTTTTGGCTAATGTAACAACAATTGTAATTAGTTTATTTACTTGCCCTGAGAGTAATTTCTTCATCTAATGGTTATTTATAATATTTTTTATCAAATATGAGAAGAAAGATGTGTTAAATATATATTTGTTTAAGAGGAGAAACCTCAATTCTGAAGCCACATTTAAGAATAATCTAACAGAAGGCTTTTAATCCAAATCCCCTCAGAATATTTTCATTACACTGATGAACCAGCAGAGGGGAATATTATTCCAAAATCTGTTCAGTAGTCACAGTAAAGCTCGGTTTTCTTAAAACAATATCTAAAAAACAAACCATTTATAGACTACTCAATAGGTTTCCTTATTGACGCCAAACATTTGCTTTACTACTTGGCACTGCACACTCTGAAGAGGAAGATTATGCCAAATTTAAGAATCTCTCAATCTCACATTTTATGAATCCTTCTGCCAGCTTTTCACTTATATAAAAAAAAAAAAAAGGTAATGAATGGGCTGGTCCATGGTTCATTTAAATACACAAAATGGCGGCATTTAAAGTTTACCAGTAGCCAGACAACTTGGCTCCCGATTCTAGTGAGGTGTACGTGTTCTCTGAAACAGAGGTCACAGGGTGTTTCACAGCTGGAGGGGTTCAGATGACGACACTGGTGCCACTGCGAGAACTCTTGTCCTGAGAGAGACACACTAACTTTAGATTCACTTCACTAACAATCATCAGTATACCTCAGACTGCTTTTAAAATGACTGTGTGTTTGAGTGTGTGTGCATTTGTCTAAGTGCGTTGGTGTAGTTGCAAGAAAAGTGTGTTTATCAACTAAAGCAGCGTGTGTCTTACAGAGTAGCGTTCATTCCTCCGTGCTCCTGGTTTCTGTCCAGGCTCGTACTCGGAGTAGCTGGGAGGTTTGTCAACCCAGCTTCCTCCTCCTCTCCTTCCTCCACTTGCCCCTCTCCTGCTGCTGCCCTCATCATCTGAGCTCCAGGACCCTCCTCTAGGGTGCCTTGATGCTGGGGGAGAGTAGTTTGCCCTGGATCTGTTGTCAAATAGGTCATCCCTGGAACGGGAGCGGGGCCGGTCCATGCCTCCTCGTGCACCACTGCGACTCCGCCCATCCAGTGATTCCTCGCTGTAGCTCCTGGGAATACCCCTAGACCGGGCGGGCGAGGGATACCGCCTGCCTGCTGCCCCTCGATCGTCATGACGGCCAAAGCCACTGCGGCTGCTCTCGCTGGAGCTCGGGGGGCGAGTCCTGGGTGCAGGGGGTGGGTTTCTGCCTGGTGGCTGCTCTCTTATTGGTGGAAGTGTGATGACCCGGCGCTCTGTTGGGCCATCATCAAGGGCAGAGATCATGCTTGGAGGGCCAGGGGAAAATGGGACAGGATGCATGTGCTGGAGAGGAGGTTGCATCTGCTGCATGTGGTGGGGCGGAGGTTGCATCTGCTGCATGTGCTGCATGTGGTGGGGTGGAGGTGGCTGGGACTGATGGGAAGAAGACCCCAGAAGAAGAGGAAATAAAGAAGTAAATATAAATGACAACCACCACTCGTACATTTCAGTGAAATTCACAGTATATACTGTTTTGGCTGTTATAAAGACAAGAAAGACTGCACTTTATCATTCAAAAGATTTTTTTGGCAAAAGGTAAAAGCGGTATTTAACATATAGGAAATGGCATAAATATAATAACTGATAGAGAGAGAGAGTTTCCTTTGGGAAACCCTGAATCAAAAATTATAACGCCCACTCAGTTGTTCATTGAATTGTAAAGTGGCCATTATACTCCATCAGAACTGCTTGTTGGATGGTCAAATAGCTGGCTGCTTCCCTAACCCTACCATGACTTAAAGAGCCACCAACACTCTGGTTTCTTTAACTGCCTTGACAATGATTTTAATTTAAATAACGCTGAATCAAATGTTTGCTAAAACAAAAGCTTTGACAATAATTTCTTTGGTAGTTGCAAAATTGCAAAAATGTATTGCATTCTCTTAAGAGACTCATTTTAGTCCAAACTAAACAGCTAATAACGCAACCCACCTTTTCCCAAAGACATGCCACTGGAAAATCTGTATTATTAGGCCCCAAATATAAACTAAAATACTACAAGTGACTAAACAGGACTGGTCTGAGCAAGGGTTTGTATTTAATAAGTTAATGAAAAAATAATCTGATGCCCTTCTGTTTACATAAACAGATTTTAGAACATGCTTACATACCTGTAGCAGAGGACTGGCCATGTCCATCCCCCTCACCTGGCTTTCTAAGTAATCAAGCATCTGATTGGTGTTGGCAGGGGTATGGTTGCCATGGACACTGGGAGGAGGCATGCTGTAAGCTGAAGATTGAGGAGGAGGGAGGGGCATAGGCTTCATAGGGAAGCTCTTGCCTGAAGCGGATCCTGGAGCGACAAAAACATACACATAAAGTCAGAGATCTGAAGTCTGAAGGTATTAAGGCCACAGTCTGCTCGTCAACCGACTTGCTGTGTAACATAATGTGTGTGTGTGTGTGTGTGTGTACCTGAGTAGAGCAGCGGGTTCATCTGGGAGGAGGCGTGGCTCATTGGTGCATATACCGGCTGTCCTCCCATCCAGGGAGCCATGGCCCTCTGAGCCTCCTTGATCATACGATGCTGCATCACAGCTGAAAGATCAGGACAGCATTTTCTTATATACATATTTATTAATACAGGAGCGTCTTCTCTGAGTATACAGGCTCTTTATCTGCACTGTGGCTGTCAGAAATACAACGAAGAGATGCTGATAGCAACGTCTCATTGGCTATTGTTCATGCCAAATATTCTAGTTTCTCGACCAAGTTTAGCAATATATGCTTTTTAACTTCCTACTTCAAAACAAAACCATTGATGAAGTGCACTTCAGAAAACAGGTACTAGTTTTATTTAAAATCCATCTAGAATGGGCTTTAATGGGCTTGACTGTCTCTCTCTCATTTGGACTTGGTCTTGACTTGGACTCGACTAGTCCTGACTACCAGTTAATAAGGATTTTGGTTTAAAACAGAACAACATTATCTGTTTTTTCACTCCCAAGTTGCCTTTTTGTTTCTCTTCTGTGCATTTTTGACACCACAAGTTGTGAATTGATTGCTATCAGCAGTCCATTTCCTTGTCTTGGATATCAGAGCATCCTTAAAGCACCAACAAGGAGAGTTTTCTAAATGGGGCCTGCTTTCTACCTTTTTCAGGACAGCAGCATTGCTGTGGGCAGCAGGGACAGCGAACGTAGCAGCAGCATTTCTGAGGGCAGCACTGGCAGCAGCAGATACAGAAGAGGAGGATCAGAAGGAGGGCTCCGATGATGATAAACAACACTGTTAACCAGTCTGAGAGAGGAGAGGAAGATACACGCTTACTGTGGTGTGCCCAGAGACATGGACATCTTGTGTAAGTTTAAACATTTTTTTTTCTCTTTCTTTCTTACTGTAAACAATAAGTTGGACTTCTTTGTCAGAGATTCCAGAGGTGTCTCCAGCAGCATTGACAGAGCAGAGGTACACCCCGTTGTCCCACCACATAATCTCATTGATCACCAGGTCTGCCTCTGTACACACACAAACACACACACACAGAAACTTCCAATCAAACTGTAGTACCTTTAAAGGCAATTTTAAACAATTGTCTTCTCAATTCTTCCCAAGTGACATCAATTCTAATTTGACCAACTTCTGACCAACAGTCTAAAACATATTCACACTCACAACTAAAGTAGAGGACTAAAAATAGGCCTACCACAAAATATTACAAGTTGAGAAGCCGTTTTCTAAAATGCTTAAATGATTTAATTTAAATGAAAGGTTTCAACTCATTTCAACTCTACTATGAAGAAATAATAGGTGAAGCAAAATATGTATAACATAGTGTCTCAAGACCAACACAGTCTTATCTTACTCTCATCACAAAGGGGTTAAGTCTGATACCAGCTGTGCTGAATGGGACCGTGTAATGCCTGAACTCACTATTTTGGATGGTGATCCTGCGCTCACGGTATTCAGCTCCCAGTGTCGGCTCACTGCTTCCTTTCTTCTGGATCACCGTGCGCACTGTCCGCTGACGATCTGGACAGTCATTCGCTGGGTCCTGTCCTAACTGTAGTGCAGACTGGTATGCTGCGACATAGAGGCAAAGTTTTAATTAAAACAACCATATGATTAAAGCATCTTTAGCACCACTACCGACTATCCTACAGGTTATTATTCTGTACTGTGCGAGACAGTGACAGTGCTTGTGGCACGGCTATAGGGATGGCAATGTCAGTCTGCTGGTCAATCCACCATTTTAGTCCAGACTGAAATATCTTTACAGAGACTGGACGAATTGAGATAACATTTTCATTCATAATCCCCAGAGAATCTAACAACATTCCACATCAGCCTCTGCTGTATTCTGTGTCTAGTGGTAATTAGCAAATGTTAGCATGCTAATATGCAAACTAAGATATGTTAGCATTTAGTGCAAAGCATGGCTCAGCCTAATTACATACACTAGCATTGCTCTTGGTCTTCTTATAAACCAAAAAACAATGTGGTCAATAAACCAAGGCAAGTCCTCACATCACAACTGAAGGATACAGAGGGTTTTATTTGTCACATACACAAGCATCATGTGTAAGGAAATGCAGTGTGGCATACTCATGCCAAAAGCTTGTGCTAGAAGTGTGAAAAATAGATTCAGAGGACAGAGTTCACTATCCTGCTGGTCTGAGGAATGAAGGTTTTTCTCTGTGTTGGACTATTCTGCTGGAATAGTCTGATGATTACAAAGATGACTTCTTGACGCACACATTCTTCATTTATCATCATCAATCAAGTGTTTAGTATTGGGTAGAGGATAGTTGGAGCCTATGGCTAATACACCATCTAGTAGCTGAAAAACATCTATCATTTAGATTAGCTCACTATGTATGGGAAGGTTTTTTCGCTCTGGCATTGAATATTCAGAGATTATGAGATTTATATAAACATGATGTCCTTTCCTCATCAAGTCATGCTTTACCTCCCTCCTCTGTATTACATCAGCAGCGCAGTGTCTGGTAATGCAAATATACTATCACTTTTCTCTCCATTATGCCCTCTTTCGGTGTGTTGCTTACCTGTGGAGTAATATTCCAGCACAGGGTCCTTGCAGAAGGACTTGAATACCCAGGTGACCAGAACATCTTGGAGGTTTGCAGAGGTGGAGTAGTCACATTGGAGGATAACTGAGGCAAACAGAGTTGTGCTGCGCTGCTGCTGAGGAACAATCACCTGAATACACACCGACACTGTAGGAGGGACGGCAAACAGACAGTTACATACAGTTGGCTGCTTTGTGTATTTGTGCATGTGAGAGGAATAAAGTTATCTCATGTGCCAAAAAAACATTTCTAATTCTGGCAATTTAGAGAAACAGTAGCCTGTGTATTGAAACAAGGTAAGGAAGACTTGTGGCAAGAATGAAACAATGTGTGTGAGGGTTTCTCTCAACCTAGGAGTTCATTTCAAACTGGCAGAACCAGAAAAACAGGTGACATAGACAAAGACACAGGAAATGGCCTACTGTGAAACTCAAACTACCAACACTCAAAAGCTGGAATGAAACCTGTGAAGTTAACATGTCCTTAAATGTACACAGGTCACAGTGACTCTTAAATATAATATGGAAGACTGTATAAAAATCGTGGGTTACAGTTTAAATGCACAACTGGATCACATAACGACCTGTAAGTAGGTATCAGTGAAATTAAAATTAAATAAAGATACTAATAATAAAATGGAAAAGAAAATTAAATTAAAAAAGGATCTTCAAGTACACACAGTATGTAGTCCGCCTGTAGGAAAGGTAATATAAACAAGATTTCTATCTTTATGTGAAATAAACTGACATGTGACCGATACCTCGAGTTTGGAAAGTTTCAGTTGACATTTTTAAAATCTTCTAATTCAGAAGCATGTTAACGAGACTCTTTTTAAAACAAAATGAGCCCAATATGTATCGAAATAGAAATTACCTTTGAGAAGCGACCACAGGAGGATGGCGGCAGGTAGTCTCCGCATGATGACAACGCTGTTCCACAAAACCCCCTCAGTAAAAACTGTCAATACAAATAAAAATACAAATAAAAAAAATCCTCGAATGACAATAAAAAGTAAAAAAAAATAAAATAATAAAAAGCAGAGCCTATATTCTTAAACACAGCTGTTCTTCGTTTCGTCCTGTGCGTGTGTCCGAGCAGTATCTTTGGTTAATTCCTGAAACTGCAGTCACCTCTGGCCACACCCCGAAACAGGTGAACTCATCCGGTCCTGTGACGTTGCCAGGTGCACAGGAATCTCCCCCAAAAACGAAAGAGAAGTCAAAGAGGTGTCACTGCGAACAATATATCCTTTTTGTAGCACGATTAATGCCTGGGATTTATGTGGTGAACAAAAAAAGTCTCACTTTTTTTATGTATTCCAAATATTTTGAATTGATGTGTAGAACTTTCTATCTATAAATATAGGTGCTTTATGGTAGCGCTATTTTCATTGATTTTGAAATGAATTCACAATTATGGAAAAACATTTTTAACTCCTTAATCCAACTGTTAATAATTGAATGAAATAGAGTTGAACTTATTTATACTTGATACTATCTCCTTTACAACTCTCAATAACAAAATTATTCAATTCATATAAATAATTTATTCATTTCTTCCTCCAATGTTTTTCTTTTGTTTAATGTTTTAAAATCTCTTGCACAATCCCCTTACTAAATGTTTATGTTTTTCCGCCATACTTCCTGGCACCTTTTTTCGTTTCCTCTTTTTGTTCTTTAAACTTGCCTTTATGTTAATGTTTAAATGTGATTGTCACATATTTTCCACCATTGTGTACAGAGCAGCATAAGGTATTTCACTTTATTTTAAAATAACAGCTTTAAGAGTAACACTTACACCCACATATTGTTTCTAAGAGTGATGCCATTTATTTCTGTGGTTTGGCAACCCTTCACTATGTCAGTACATTCACAGTCAGTTGTAGTCGATTAAAGTATAATCATACAAGTTACATTTATGAAGTCCTCAATGATACATTTGAATTTAAAAACACAGTTGGCAAAATATATGGAGGCATACATGTACCATTTCACATTCATACATTTATTTATGCATTGTAAACCACTTTAGGCATTGTGATTATTGCCATATATTTGTTATTGCAGCTCTATTGTTCACCGAATAAGACTAAGCTAAAACACAGTGTAACAGGGTCACATATACAACATGTCAAGGATAACACGATAAAGTTCAAAATTTTACATTGTGGTCCTTGACGTAAAGACAACATTGATGCACAAAGTGCCAGGATGACATCATACTACCATTAAATAGCCATTATCCTACATTTATCAGTTTAAGACAACTGAACATAAATATAATATCTGTCTGTTCTGCAATTCTATGCTCTATTTGCTGTATTATAAAACAGACGTATTGGTTTTCTACATTCATTAAAGTGTGTCACTGACCTAAAATCTAATTGAATTCAAGCATTATATTAAAATGCAAATGATCGATGTTTAATGTGCATTTTACCACCTTTGTAATTAAAACACAATCAAAGTAATACTTAAAATAGATTTGACAATGTCTACAATCACTCCTGAACAATATACCGAAGTGAGGCTTTAAAGCACAAACATTACCCTTTTTCACTCCATGCTCATTCGGACAAGATGGCACCACTTTACAAACATAAACATCTAATCACTGAAAACAATTAGCTTCAATGGTTGGCCAAATACTCCAATCGAATCAAAGACACACTTGTGCACAGTTACACTGAGTGCTTAGGCCATCATTTTTAAAACATCACACAAAAAAGTTCACTTAAAAAGAGTTCACATAAAAAACATCATAATGTAGTCCAAAAATATTTTACAGCCAAGTTGTTGTTCAACTGCTTAACTGTGTAAAATAGATTAAAGTAACACAAGTTACATAAAAGGTGGAAACAGAATATGTTTAATGCTTCATGAAAAGCAACTTTAGAACTATAAAGCTGATGATGATAATGATGATAGCTGTGGGCCCCACTGGTTCCTTTAACTAGCTGAAAAAAAAGCTATTTTTGAGAGCTGATTGTCTGGTCCATTGTGCATGAATACTCATAGAATCTGGAGTTACGGTGCATAACTACTTTAATGCTTTGCTATTCATTTTGAAAGAGCAGTGGCCAATGGGGAAACCGTCCGGCACTCGACCGACCAGCGGTGTAACTTCATCCCTCACTCACTCAGTAAGTCTATAGGTCAGGCTCCTGCTTCCCCGCGGTCCAGCTCCTGACAAAGAGTTTGACTTCTTTGTAACTGTTTCCAAAAGTGTCTCCAGCAGCATCAACACTGCAGAAGTACACACCACTGTCCGACCACGTCACGTCATTGATCACCAGGTCTGCCTCTGTACACACACACACACACACACACACATACACTTTTGGTTAAATTCTCTACAGAGCTTCACTGCTGTCTTAAAAAGATGTTGTTACTTTTAGCACTGGTTGTCAAAGAGGCCAGTCTGGGGTGAGACTCTATCACATGTCAGAAAGTTTATTTAAAAATCCCACTAAAGATATACATTTAAAAAGCTATAAGCAGATATGGATGTTTTACTTGTGTCTACCATGTCAACTTTACAGTTCTCCTCTTGTTTTGAGATAGAGCCATACAGTGTGTTTTAACCACAAACACTGGTACACTAACAGTACAGAATCTGGCCATGTTTGTAGTGTAACCTGTTTGTCTTTCATGTTGCTGATTGGTCTTTTCATACCTGCCATTCACAGGAATGTAAGTCTGTTATGATGAGAGGATGTTGTTGTGTTTATTTGCTCCTATGTATATGTATATACTTTTCTCACAAGTAAAAATTATAAACAATTCCAAACTTACAGCAATAGGTTGATATTTTAGGAAAAGCGCTTATTTGCTTTCTTAATTGGAAGAGAAGATTGATACCACTTCTTTTGCTCTTAACAACAGATTTCACCTCAAAATGGACATGGGTTCACCTTGTATTGTATGACTGGCTTGAGCCTGACCTTCAAATTGTATAATACAAGTGCAAATGTTTGTATGCACTCACTCTTTTGTAAGGTGATGTTTCGAGCACGGTATTGCGATCCCAGTATTGGCTCTCTCCTTCCTCTCCTCTGGATCACTGTGCGCACTGTCCGCTGACGATCTGGACAGTTATTTAATGGGTCCCGTCTAAACTGTAGCGCCGACTGGTATGCTGCAAAACCAGAGGCAAAGATTTTATTCAAACAACAAACAACTAGCTTTCTATGATTGCCATCCATATCTCCTGCTTGGTAGGTATATGATCGAAACATCATTCTTGTGAAGCCGTACTGGTGACTATCAACCAACTACAGGAATAGTAGGCCTTCTCAGTATTTAACCTTTAACATGAACAGACCGTTCAAGTCCCAAAGTGAAGCAGTAAGGTTGGGGTATTAAGTAAGGTGAAGTGCTACTGCAGAAATAAGTCAATCTGAAGCCTTTCTGAGACTTATAACAGACCTTTTCTCTGCATTATGTTGTATTTTGAACTGGATGTGTGTTTACTTTTGCGTTATTTCCTACACGTGGAGTCGTTCTCTTGCTCCTTGCAGAAGGACTTGTACCTCCAGGTGACCAGAACATCATCGTAGTGTGCAGAGGTGTAGTAGTCACAGTGGAGGATCACTGAGTCAAAGAGAGCTGCACTGTGCTCCTGCTGAGGAACAATCAGCTGAATACACACAGACACTGTGGAGGGACGGCAAACAGAGGGTTACATTCAGTGCTTTGTGTATAACACATTTGTGTTAGAAGAAACACAAATATCTCACGTGCCAAAAAGATGCGGGCAGGTAAGAGAAACAGTAACCAAGGAATTCATTTAAAAGCGTCAGAACCAGAAAAACAGGTGACACAGACAAATGAAACTGTTTACTGTGAACCTACCAACCAAACATTTAAAAGCTGGAACAAAACCTGCTGAGTTCACCTGTTTCTTTAATGTTGACAGGTCACAGTGATTTGTTAAAGTAAGATGGAAGACTATAAAAGTTGTAGAAACACAATTATCTAACTAATAAACATAACTATCTCATAAATATCTTATAGCAATCTGTAAGTATAGGTATCAGTAAAGTCTTCTAAATTAAGAAAATGTATTGTTAATAAAATAAATAAATAAATCAACTCAAAGTATGCATTTGCTTTTTCAGCCTCATGTTAACACACTTTAATGTTTCAGGGAAATTCATAAACAGGCAAACACTTCCTATTTTAAAACAATATTTAAAGAAGTTAAAATTACCTTTGAGAAGCGACAACAGGGGGATCAGGGCAGGTAGTTTCTGCATGATGACGAAAAGTAGGACGCAATATTTATAGATTTACGGTTAAAAGAAGGACGTATTCTAATCTCAGTTTAAACCCAGCTACTCTCATTCAGTGCTTTTGCATGTGGAGTATCCTATCTTTGCATTTAGTGCCTGAGACTGCAGTCATCTCTGGCCACACCTCGAAACAGGTGACTTCATCTCAACCTGTGACATAGCCCGGAGCACAGAAATCCCCTAACGTGAGAATCGGTGACAGGAAGGCCTGCTAATGCTAATTATACAAAAGAACATTTATTATTATAATATGGGGATTTATACTGTCGGGTGCTCATTAAGATTTATATTCAATATTTATTGAAGCATGATATATTTTTAACTCCACACAGTGACATCAAAATTAAATATTATTACATTACATTAGGATTATATTGACATAATACAAAATAGTGTTTGGTTATTTTGATGAAAGATTTTGAAACTACAATGGTGTCTTAGAACATATTTAATGAAATAATGGTTGAAACAATGTAAATATTTTCAGCTCAGTTCAGTTCTGAGCAGCTGACAAACCACTGTAAAATCCTTAGTAATAAAACTGTCACCTTAGAGAGAGGGTCAGACTCATGAACAAAGCCTAAAATTAGTTATAATTATCATAATAAAGCAATACCTACATTTAACCATAAACCTAAAGTGACAATGTATGACAATGTATGTCAATGTATGTGTGTTTATTGAAGTTATGACACAGGAAAATACCTTTTTGATGTTCTTTTGTTACTATTAGAAACAATAGACAGTGGCAGTCTGGTTTTCTTCTTTCAACATTTAGCTGTAACTCTAAACGTTAACCACTAGATGTCAGCCTAAACTTTTCTTTTTTCTTCTTACTAGAAATAGATCTTCATTGTTATGAGATTATTTTAAATTTGACCCTTGAATTCTAATCAGTTAAACTATAAAACCAAGGTGTTTATTCCCTGGAGACTTTTTAAAGACGTCCTCCTTTGTAAACGTCTGGTCCGTATGCATATGAATCAGACAGCTTTGTGTGTTGTCCTGAAGTACTTTCTGAGTCCTTCAAACTGTCAAAGATTGTTTTCCCTCTGAGTACGCCCAATCTGCACCTGCAGCTCTTCCAAGCTTTTTTTCCCCCTCTGGAAACTGGTGCCAAGATCCACTCTTTGTTTCCCACTCGTTCTCCCTTACAGTATATCCTGTCCTTCTGCTGAGGCCGTAAAGCACAAACACTACTTCATTCCACGTTCACTCAGAGATTATTTGTACTACATTTTGATTTTATATAGTACAAATATAAACTTGTAATCACTTAGGGTAAAACATGTTTCAGCATTAAATTTGCCATTTAATTAATACACATATTGCAGTTACTGTATCTGCCTGCAGGCTTATCAGCTCTATGGAAATTAATATTAAGGCAACTGTCACTAAAAACAGCAACACATATCAGTTGCAGGAAAGTTGGTTTTAACATACATAAGTCTATTTTTAATTACATACAATAAAAGTACAATGTTGCACAGGTTTATTTATCAGGAAAGTGGCTGCACTGAATTAACCAGTGGTAGACATTGAGATTGTTACTTTATATTTCAACTCCACATTTCAGAGGCAAATCTTGTACTTTTTACTCCATGTTTATCAAACAATTGTCGTTACTTAGTTACTTTTCAGATTCCTTATTAATATCATATATAATCAAGAAATTATTATCATATCTTAATCTTTACCTGCTGCATATTTACAGTGGTGTTTAAATAATCACTGATATAACATATATCCTTAAATGGGTCATTCTGTATTTTATGCACTTCTTCATTCTTATTCTTTATATGTAACTTCTGTTACTTAAAGGATATTTTAAAGCCGATTTTTTTTTTTTAGTCAAATTCTGAATGCAGGACTTTTACAGCAGTATTTACACTGTGGTATTGCTACTTTTACTTAAAGGTACTACATACACCACTGTATTCAAGTCTGAAATCTTAAGCATTTATCTTGTGTATATCATTAAATATTTAGACTAAACATCATTAGGTTATATTTATTTATTTAGTTTGACACCTAAAAACTCTTCATCAGGACTGTATGTGTGCAGTTTGATCAGATTTGACTGACAGCAACCTAACAATCCACCAAATATCATCATATTTTTCTAAAGGCTGATTGATGCACTGATGTACCTGGAATAATGGCATCACATTTTTCCAGGTTAACTCCACAAGGGGAGCACATACAAAAAACGCAAACTTCTTACTCTATGGTGTATAGTAATGTCATATTTACCCACTCATACCTCTGTAAAGCCGGGAGGGAGTTGCTCAACAACATTCCTGACATACTCTCCGACTGTGAGTGGTCACTGTCTTAACCAATCCCTCCCATCACAAACAGACAGTACATGAGATGATGCACACATGACCTCTCTCCCACACACATCAACACAAGACCCAAAAGACTGAGCCCTTTTCTCCCTCTGAATGGTATAAAAATAACTGTTCTTGCAGTGTTTAATTATCTAATTGTTCCTGAAATGGTGGAAGACGCATTCAAATCTTTAACCTAGGTAAAAGAAGCGGTACAAGTAAAAAGTACGCAATTAAAAAGTCCCCCTGCAAAGTTTATTTCTTTTAAAAAGTAGAATCACAGAGTAATACGCAGAAAAAAAAAACATTTAGAATTGGAATTCAAATAATTAAGTGTTAACTACATTTTCTTTGTCGTTGAATCTTAAGTGAAAGTACTAATTATGAAGAAAAATGGCCCCATAAGTACAGTATTATATTACAGTACTGGACCGTTGTTACTAATATTTTAATGTGCAAGCAGCAGTATATGGTTGTTGGTCAAGGTGCAGCTGATTTCATATCTTACTTTTATACTGTTGTAGTATATTTAAAATAATCTATGATGTACTGTATGGAATTATCTACAATAACTATAACTCTCAAGTAAATATAGTGGGATAAAACAAAAATAAAAATCTTTTCATAATGAAGCAGCAATACAGTACCATGAAAAGCTGATTACTCAAGTAAACAACCGTATCAGAATTGGACTTAAGAACAGTCGTTGAATTCTTGGATATCAACCGTTCAATAAGCAGATACTTTGTAGACTTATAGGTTGTAACAAATGATTTATGTGGATGACAAAACAACTGCTTCACAGATATCTGTGGTTGAGCTGGCAGAACTGATATGTGAGTTTTGACACAGCTGTGTAGTAAAGACAGGCAGTCAGTCTGTGATTACAACAATGAACAAAGACATGAGTCATACTCAATTACACATTGTCTTCTTTACAGAAATGTAAAGAGTCATCTCTCTCTCTCTCTGATACACACACAAACAGTCAGTACCAGACAGCAGAAAATATAATTAAAAACAACAACTATACACTAACATGAGACTTTTCTCATGATGAGCCGACCCAACATGGAAGCAGGGATAATGAAACACTGAATGGCGTAATGTTAGAACCAAGTCAGTAATAGGACTGAAAATCAGTAGGATAATGTGTGTTTTGTGAATGATAACAAGTGAAGCTGTTGGTTTAGCTGTTGACTCAGCACTGATAAGAAAAGGCTGAATTACGGTTATCAAATCAGTCAAATCATCAAGACACTTCATCTTATCTACACAGTCACATTGGAAAGCTTAGACAAACATAATAATCATTTACAAAAATACAAATACAACAATCATATCACACCACACACAAAATGGGTCGAGTTTACATATAAAAATGTCTTCATACTGTAATACAAAAATGTTCAAGGTATGTGGCTGTTTATTACTTTAAATGTTTACAAAAAAACGTTCTTCAGGTTTTAGTCCATTAAAGAAAATTGTTACTTTGTGCAAACTCACATCTATTAATAAAAGATGAAAAGCTCACTGACACACATTCTGGAGACAAAGTTATTGCTTCATGAATAATGAGTGTGACTTAGAAGTAACTGAATAAACACTTGAAATGCTGCAGCAAATGTGGGTCATATTAGTTCATGGGCAGGTCTGCAGTGTTGGTCCATACCCTCATTCATTTAATACTCTGTCAATGTAGCTTTCTATATGTGGACTATAATGTATGTTTTCATGAACTGAAAATGAGCGTCATACAGCCCCACTTCTTCAGAGCTCTGTTTCCGTTTTATGTTGCTTTAAAAACTAATAAAAATCAAATTGACTTCTTTTCTAGCTGATAAATGTTGCTACATGGAATTTGACCTTATATTACCCAGCTCACTTGCATGTAAGTTACATTATTTGTTGGCCACATGGCAGCAGTCTTAGCTGTAAACACACTGGCATATTAGCACTTTATAAGATGTAATGGGGAACATTTGAACAGTTTCTTACTTAGACACACAAAGTAACACTATAACAGTCCAATATTCACTTGTAGTCTGGTTCTGTTTTTGGTCTCTCCAACAACTCTTGAGGGAAATATCTGGCTCTTTAGCTGCTAAGCTCTCCACTATGTTCACCAGCTAGTTGCTTACTGTGTTTGTCTGCTGTTTGGTGCAGAGCAGGTAGTGTGCAGTCAAGTGTTTAACTAAAACATATGCCTGCTGCTGCTGGAAACAGGGTTGATGAGAGCAATGAAAGTGAACCAAAACAGAAAAGTTATAGGTAAAAAAAAAAACAAAACTGAGTTGGAAGACGCTACAACTCTCTGTATAGTTGAGGGGAACTGCAGAGCTAGGTGATAAATTTTGACTATAAGTAAAAACTTAACATTACACACAGTCAGTCAGTATAAAAATATTGCTTAATGCAGCTTTAAGAGTTACTGTCCTTTTGTTGTCCATCCCCACTGTAGATACACACCAGCATGTCGACATTTGGTAATGGTGGTTACTCCTTCCAGCTGTAGTTAACATTTAAATCTCCTTGCATGGGTGCTCTGGTAGCTTACCTGGCAGAGATGGCACCTCATAAACCCTTGCTGAAACGGCCATTGGTTCAAATCTGACCTCTGGGCCCTTCGCTGTGTGTCATCCCCTCTGGTCCTTTCTTGTCTATCTTCAGCTGTTGAATAAAGCCAAAAAGTAAAAAATCTCCCTGCAAAAGCCATCTGAATTAGCTGCTTTAGTCCATGAATAATGTTACTGAATGACACAGTGCTTGTATTGTCAAACAACTTAAGCTACAATATGTACTTTACAATAATGCTCTTGTCATATACTTCTTTTTTTTGTGTGTGTCTTTTAATGCAGATATCTCATCAAATGGAAATGAATGCGCTCATTGTGCTGGAAGCGTAAAGCCGGTCTCTCCGCTTCAGAGCGTTTTCTAAGGGGACGGGGGGAGACGAACAGTGTCCTGCTGGCAGGGACAGTCTAGGTCATACAGCCAGCCCACATTAGTTCAGTGTTAGTCCAGCTGACATATACAATATATGAGGCAGCCGGTGACAGAAACTGAACCGTGATGACTTCATCGTTTCGTGAAGTCACAGACAGAAACCCCAGTAACAGTCTCGATAGTAAAAATGTTGTCTGTTGTCCATTTCTTCATTCAGCTTTCCTTCATAGTCAGTTGTAATTTGCATATATCCAAAGTCATAGGCTGACATGCACTTCCCGTACACTCCGCTCAAAGCGCTCGGGCTGTGTGGCTCTCAGATGATCAGACGATGAGGGAATCCCGGCTTAGGAGAGTGCTCTGTTGAGGATTGAAAAATAGTGTAAGTGATCAAAAATAAAACTGAGTTTACACCAAAATACAAAACTAATAATATGGAAAAAAAATATGAACACACGTTTTTTGAGTAGAATGAGAGAGTAAAGAGATAGTAAACATTAGCCAAACGGGGGTTATTATGGTGAACTTGAACCTGGGACAAACTGGATTTCAACCTTTTTCTAATTATTTGAAGTTTGAAAGCCGGTTCTGGTGAATGAATTGATCCTCTACAGGAAGTCTTTGATGTTGAATACCTTTTTGACCCAGGTTTGTGAGGGAGGGGACAACCAGTTATGATTGTTATAGAGAGTGGTTGGATACAGAACAGAATATTCTACCTAGTTTTCACTGTGGTAGCATCTGAATCTGACCTGTCAAAGGTACAACAAGAACACTTACTGTGGGCCTACAAACCTTTATTATACTGTAAGTCAGAGTTTCTCAACCTTAGAGCTCAAGAAATGTTCGTATGAGTTTGACATATCATGTTAAATAACAGCAGGTTTGAAATACATAATCGTTTCTGTATAATCTTTCCAAGTGTGCCATAATCCAACTCACATGATTAACTCTCTAAGTGAAAAGTTTGGGGGCTAAAAATGAGGTCATAGGCCAGAAAAGGTTAAGAAACTGAACTACAATGGAAACAGCGTAGGTACTAGGCTCTAACCACAACACAATACAATTCTGCTCAGTTACGTTTTGTTTAAGAAAAGAAAATCTATAAATAATAATAAATAAATTCTTTTACACCATCTTGAAAAGAGGATTAGATGAAATATAATCTTGGATCACATATTCATCTGAATGTTCAGAAATTGATAACAATGAGTAAAGATGCAGATGAAATAAACCTAGTTAAATTTCCCATTTACCATATTGTTTTTTAACATGTAAAAATATACCTCCAGCTTAAAGCAGTGGTTAGCTTTGTGGGCAAGGATACCTTTCTCAGATAGTGGATTCTTTTCTTTGATCTTTGTGTGTATTTAAAGGGATGTTGATTGCTGTTTAAAAGTTTAAATATACGTTTTTTTGTAACTTTTGTGCTGTATAAATAAAGTTAATTATTATTACTATCATTTATGGTCAGATCGTTCCTGGAACTTTGGAACCAGATGAACTGAACTCAGGAGCTAAACTACAAACCAAAGTTCCTTTTGCATTCCTGTTTCCATGAAGATTAGATCCATCAAGAATCATGAAGATTAGGCAAATTAGATTAATTGATTAAATTCATTTTTGATTAAAAAAGACTGCTTTTGAAACTCATCTTTCACGCACAATAAAAGAACAACATGGAATCATCCTGTTGATCTTTGTATTTGCTCTTCCTCTGATGTTTGAGTTGGATATAAAAAATAATGAATGAAAAGGAGAGAGAAAAGTCTCCATAGTAGACGGTCTGTGTTTTATGTTTATTTCTGCTTTGAGCCATGACGAAACTATCAGTAAATCAAGTATATCTTTTGTTTACTTGCTTTGTTCCCACATTACTGCTACCTCTCACAACCGCCACCCCCATCTCTCTCGTTATCCCTGCTCTCAACTCTCTCCTCCCTCGACAAGCCAAATTGATGATTGATACAAGAGCCTCCCAGCACCTCTTTGTTTTGCGAATGAACCAACCGCTGGTTCTGTGTTTGACCAGTCAGCGACGTTCAGTCCTGCGAGCTTCACCCTGATAGTTCCTCAACCATCACAAAGTTCTACCTCAAGCATTATGACATTTGTCACCCTAGAAGACTCTCTTTAAAGCAGGGAAATACAATGAGTGTTAAATACTTTGTAGTTAGCCTAGTATTAACATTTTTCTAACAAATGTTTTCATCAACTACACACCGATAACAAAAAAATAAATAAAAATACTACATAAGCTCTACTCACTGCTGTTGATCTGCAAATAAGCATCACCAGCATACAAACCAACCAATAACTTAAATGTAACTCACCACTTTCCGGTTCTTTTCTCTGGGGTCCTCTCTGCGACCGGGCAGGGAATGGGCGGGAGGTTGAGAGGAGCGAGCGTTTGCTGGGAGTGGCCGTGGAGATGGCCTTTCAGTTCTGTTTCGCTCTGTGTCTGAGTAAGGAGGCAGTGAATCAGCCTCAGGCCTGTTACTAGGCGAGCGGCTGCAGTGCCTACTAGATTCCCCACTGCTCTTTTTCGAGCTGCCCTTTGAGGGTGTGTCTGAATCTTCCTCACCCCGGGCCCCACTCTTCCCCTGGCTGACCCCTCGTAACTTGGCCTTACGCTCGAGCAAGCTGTTTAGGAACGTGCCATCGTAGTCCTTCTCTTGAGAAGAAGTTGATGGTGGACTGACTCTGGGAGGGGGCGGGACAGGGTGGTCGCTGTCCCAAGTGCCCCTCCTCTTTTGGGGCGAATGAAGTGGGCTTATGATATGTCCGTTTTTCTTATTTCGTCTGGGATTATCTTCGTGGTCGCTGCTGTCCCCAAGCTCATTCTCATCATTGTGATAATGCTGAGGCGGAGCAACACGGTAGGAAGGATATCGACTGAACTCCATAAGCTCCATCTCATAGTCTCCCCTCTCTTCTTCCCTTTTATCTGCCTTTCTGGTCCCTCTCTGCTTGTAAGAAGCAGCAAACTCTTCCAGCTCATCCAGTGAGCCGGTTCGTCCTGCAGTACGGTACGTCTTTCTCTGCAGATGTTCTGAACGAGGGTTCCACCTACAAGACACGACAAGAGCGAACCAACAGTGAGAAGGAGGGGATATACAGAATCTGTGTTTACATACACTTGCTGTAAGCAATTAAGTTACAGTTGACTCTGTACAGTAAACTGATAGATTAAACATTACGTACTGTATACAAAAAACTTGATTCGTAATCAGGTAATGGATTAGAGAAACTACTTAAATATGGTTGGGGGTATGAGAGGATCTGATCTGCAGAATGTTTATGTATATGTACAGTAACCAGGTTACTACAGAGCACCAGTATGAGTACCTGTATTGGTTATCCTCCTCGCTGTGATTCTGTTGCCGTTGATTTCGGCCGGGTCTGCGTGACTGTGAGGAGGACGGAGGGTCGTCGCTGTACCGCCGAGGAGGAAGGGGCTCGTCCTGGCAGCGCCGAGGTTCTGAGTCGGGGTCATCGCAATATTGTTGGGGTGAAGGGGGATTGTCACGGTAACGCTGCGGCTCTGGGCTGCGGTTGTCACGGTAGCGTTGGGGTTCAGGCTGAGGGTCGTGGTCAGGGATGGCGGGCAGAGCTTTCTTCTGGACATTTCGGTATGTTTGCCGGAAGCCCGTATCTCCCTCGTGGAGGGAGCTGAGCTCAGACAGGCTGCAGGCTAGATGGATCAAAATGAGGGAATTAATAAATGAAGAACGACTGAACAGAGAAGTAAACAAACAGAACATTTTGCTTAAAGGAAGCACAGAGAATAACAAAGACATTGTGGAAGAAGAAAGTGAGAGTCGAAGTCTGCAAGATATTACGTTGAACATTGGAGTGCTGATTGTTAAAACATATTCTTGCAGTGCTATACATCTGAACTACAGGGAATTCAACATGCAGAATGCTTGTGTAGAGAGGCATGCCAAGACAAGTTCAAGAGAAAAGAAAGGCAGCTTAAAGTAAAGAGCAGCATGCATTGTCTATTGATTGTATCAACTTGCTATAGAAGGTCCAGAAAGGATTTTCAGAGAATGAATCCACAGGATGGGTTTATAAATCTTACACTGGTGGCTGGTGGACCTGGCAGGGTTGAAGTGAGCCAGTTGTTTCTCTACATACTGTAGCACCCTGAGAGAGTCCTGATCCTGAGGTGAGGGCACGCGGTAGGGAACCCCTACAGCATGCATCGGCACTGCAGATACACACTTGACCAATGAGCATGGAGAACTTCTGTTTATCTTGTGTGTGTGTTTATTGTGGATTGAGGACCATATTGGTGGTTCTGCTTGTTTTATATTTCACTATTTTATTCTTTTACAAATGAAGTTGATCTTGTAGATTATTCTAAAACAAGGAAATACACAATTTAAAAGGAGTAATTCAGAATAAACCCTGAGGATGATTTAAAAACAAAACAACAATAATAGGGTCTTTCAATAATTCTTAAAACACAGATTGACACGCTAATAAAGTGTAAGACCTCACCTGCTGTGAGTAGACTGCCATCCGAAGGGGACACAGAAGACATCTTGTCCACCAGGGAGGGAGGGGCGATGGGGACCATCGTCGGGACACCAGTGACAAAATACGGAGGGTAGGCAGGTGATTGAGGCCTGGAGTTGCCCGTCTTTATACCCTTACCTGCCTCATATACTACAAAAGCAACACACAATCCCATTCAGACTTTCCAGAGAAACATATTTCTTACAACCAAAGTCTTGGTTGGTGGTTCTGATCACTGTGTGTGTATTTATACTCACGGTGTCTAGGGCAGCAGCACGTGTCGGGGCAGCACCAGCAGCTGACGTAGCAGCAGCAGGAGTGAGGACAACACTGACACCAACAAACCCCAACCAACAGCAGGAATAAGACACTGCCAAGTACGACCGCCGCCACAAACACCCACTCTGGAAGTACACACAACACAGAATCCTGTATATAAATAAGCATCAACACATACAGTAGGACATACAATACTTATATACACATACATAGCAACAGTTTGGCCTTTTGCACTTCTATAAAATTGTTGCAGAACCAGAGATCCACACATTTCAGTCCATACATTTGTCTTACTCGTCAAAACCTGCTGCCTACATTACCCACAAT